CCGCTGGTCCCCTAACATTTTTAAGGGTAGCCATTGTGATAGAAACCATGGAGCTAAATGGACCAACAACGTGGTGTCTCCAAGGAAGGTCTAAGATGGCAAGTTTACAAGTCCAAGATCTGATCCATTACACATTAAAGATGGTCCAATGACGTGGGCTAGGGCTAAGAAGCTTAAAGAAGCTCTCCATGGATTGATTCAAGAGTGTTAGGTAGAATGCACTTCCAAAGGCCCAAGGGAGCAATGTGGTGCTATCTTAAGAGAGGAAGCGGATCCAAGACTTGTCAATCTGATCCAAGTCCAAGATTGAACTCTTTAAATCATATTGGGTCTATTTTATTATATCTAGCTTAATTATAATTAGAACTAATTAATCAAATCATATTTGGGCTCTATGTTTAAGCCCTATTATTTGCATATGTTTTTAAGACCTTTAGGGTATGTTTCTATTCTCTTTAGGGTGCAAGGAAAAGTAGAGTCATTTTAGCATTAAGAGTGGCGTGTTAGCCTATATAATAAAGGCTAGTTTAGCTCTATTTCAAACTTACATAATAATTTTAAGAGTTAATAAATTCGAGAGGATTTGTGTCCTTTGTTCTTTTGAGAACTAAATCGACTTATCTTATGGCATCTCTAAACTTATCATCCTTTATTGGGTGTGGTGTTCTTCACTCCATTGCATCATAGCTTTGGTTCTTGCCTTCTTATAGGCAACGGGTTGGGTTTTGCTTATTATAACTTTGATTAAGCGCGTTTTTGGGGTTGTCTAGCAATAAAGGTGTTTAGGTCTCTCATGTTTATATATGGGGTTCACATCACATTGGGTGCATTTAACCTATCAAACTTACTTTAATGTATCATTTATGTAGTCCATTTCTTATATTGTTGTTAGAAAAATATATTCCTAGAATAAATGATAGGTTAAGTAGTACCTATCTATTCGTTCTTACTTGTATGATAGAAAAGCTTTGGGATAGCGTCTAATATTAAACATTTAGGGTCCATAAGGCTATATTGTATAGTTTATATTAACTGCAATTGTTATCAAACTTCAATAAATGGATAATAATCCATAACATCTAGGACCTATTAATCAACCCACTATAATATCCTCAATTATATTACCCTATGTTATTATATTAAACTAACGAGAGAATAGACTCTCCTCCGGAGTATGCCTTCATATCAACTAGTAGTTGATTTTACTCATACCGAGTTAAAAGTAATTAGGATAACCCAAAGGTATTCTATGTGTTGCTTAATATGAAGTACATATTAAGCAATATGTCTAAAGCAATAGGACTTTGTAACGAGTGTTTGAGTAAGGGTTAATTTTGGTCCTTGCTTTCTCATAATTTTCAATTTCAATGCAATTTTGTTTGTTCATATTTAAATGGCATTCCTTAATTGCCATTAATCGGGATCTCTTCTTTAAATTTCTTCAAATTGTGTTCTTTCTCTCTTTTAATTAAGGGTATGAGGGTTTTGGATTGTTCAATTGCATCGTCAACTAGGTTTTCTTTAGTTTTCAAACTTTTTATTTTTTTAATTAAACCTCCAAATATAATTTATGACACTTATTTCAAATAATTCTCTTTTTTTTTGTACTATATTTTAACTCATAAAATTTAAAAATTAGATGAGGGTAAAAATTAGTTGTTAGCAAAAATAATTTATAATATATATTTCAATCGAATTGTTATTCATTTGTTGTATATTTTAAATTGTTTCAAGTGTTATTCTAGAGTTATATCTCATAAATTAGGTAGATCCGATTGTGGTGCTAGTCGTCGTGGCTTTGAAGGCGACAATGTCTATGACATGGCATTAATACTAGCGATATCCATGGCATGGCATTGATATTGCCAATATTTGTGACCCGACATCGTACGTGGATGTGGCACTGGTAGTGCAAGTATATAAAGCCATAGACTTGATAGTGGTGTTGGTACGTTGGCATCATTGATAGTAGTGCCATCGCCGGTAATGCCATTACGAGTATTGGCCTTAATTACGGATGTCTTCATGATGATTTTCTCATGCTTTACATGTGGTAATTAGTTTTATATTTTTATATATTATATTGGAATCATTAATTCATTTATTGATTGTTTACTTGATGGAACCAGGTAGGTGCTCTATAAAAATCATAATAATTTTCAAAGAGTGGTTGGCCGTCATTGGCTCTATACGAAAGTCTATCTTTATGAAGATGAAAAACTTCGATGTTAATGAGTTTTGGATAATATATTAATTATTTTTTATATTTAATCTAAATATTATTTAACATAAAATGTACTAATATTATCTTTTTATTCACATTGAAGCACTTTTTATGGGATGTAAGCTGTCGACGTATTGATTAAGGATGCATGGGAGAGTCTAGTACGGAGGCGATACGGTGACATACTAAAAAAGCTAAAGAACAAGAATGACAAAACTATGTATGTTAAACAACTAGTGTGGGAAGCATGGCATTGGGATTGGGCCACACTTGAGTTTCGGGCTCGATCTCAACAAGCATCCCGGAATCGCATTTCCTAGACGATTGGTGTCGGTGCTAGCCCATCTAAGCATATGAAAGGGTCCATCTTTTTATTAAGCATGTTGAACGTTTACTAAATCCTATTATTCATTGTGCTATAAATTAATTTTTTTATTTATTATATCTCATATTATTTTATCTTTTTTTTAGTATAATAAATTGGGTTGTAACCCAAATTCTTACGAGTAGTTCGTGACTACTCACAAGCAAAAAAATGGGTCATTCGTCGATAGACGATCCTAGACAATAATGGTAAGTTTTTTTTTTTTTTTTTTTTTTTTTTTTTTTTTTTTTTTGTAAATATAAATCTATCAATATAATAAAAATATATATATTTATAATTTAATATTACAATTATTGCAATGATGCATGAGCATTTGTAGTCAATGCAAGAAGTAGCTACTAAGATGCTTCTTGCATAATAAATTGGGTTATAAATTAATTTTTATATTTATTACATCTCATATTATTTTGTCTTTTTTCAACATAATGAATTGGGTCATAACTCAAATCCGTATAAGTTATTCATGACCACTTACAAGCAAAAAGATAAGGTCATTCATCGATAGACAATCCTAGACGGTAATGGTAAGTTTTTTATTTTTATAAATATACATCTATCAATATAATATAAAAAATATATTTATAATTTAATATTACAATTATTATAATAATGAGTATCGCATGCGATCAATGCAAGAAGCGACTACTAATGAGCGAGCATGAGGGTGATTCATCGTCTCCAAACAACATATACGAGATATATTTTGTTGTCTGTAGAAGGGGAGAAAAAGCGAGAGAGTGTACGATCTAGAATCGAAGCATTACGGTATTACTCTCATTCTAGTACCAACTCCTCCTCTCGCCACTTTGCGGTATCCTAGTGATAATATACAACAAGTTTACGCCCAATACGAAGATAGGATAAAAAGAATGGAGATTAACATTTAGAATGGGCTAGTGGATTCAGCACTATATAGAGTCGGATGCAAACGGTGATAAGGTTGTTACGAGACCCGCGGTAGATTCACGTCCCTTACGTTGACCCTCTAGCCAAAGAGTCAATCGTTCCTCTCAATACACAATAGCCGAGAAGATGGTGTAGGAGATGATGAGAACTAGATTTCTTCTTCTCCTTCTTCTTTTTTTTTAAAAAACGTTTTTTAATGTTTTCGTACCCCTTAACGCATTTACATATTTATTTGATTTTAATTTATATTATTTTAATTTTATTAAATAATGTATGATGTTTTAATAAGGTGCTATTTTTAGTTGTTTGTTACAACCATTAACATTAAATGACTATTAATTTATATTAAAAAAATATCATTCGATTAGCGATGGATTAGTAATCGTATTAGTAACAAAAATTAAACCATTTTATGATGGGCGGTTATATGATCGCTAAATAACGACAGATTTAGCGACTGCAAGAAACTTTAGCAAGAACAACTTAGCGAAGAAAATTATGTTGCTAGTTAGTGATGAAAATAGTGAATTAGCAACGATTTTATGACAAATACAAGACTAGAGAGACAAGCTGTTACTTTACTTTAGTGATGAAATTCTACACATTAGCGATGGAAATTTTTTTTTTTTTGTAATTATAAAAATAAACAAAAAAAATTTCTTTGTTCAATTAACATGAAAAAGTTCAACTTTCGTCTAAAAAGCTTTTAGAAACTATTGCAAAAATTTTAATTATTTACTAATTTAAACTACTCCAAGAATGGCTGCTAAATTAGATCCCTTATAGAACAACCAATTTCTATTCAAAAAATGTTCATTTTCTATAGTTACATAATATCTTTTCAAAATAGAAACCTAGCTAGAGAGCAAGCTCAAATTAATCAATTGTTTTCCATTGCCTGGAGAGGAACTTCAACAAAAAAGTTAAAGAGTTTCCTACATTACGTTTTTTATTTTTATTTTTGGGTGGGTAATGGTAAAATACTTTCACACTGATATCATGCTGTTTGAAAATGTCAAGAATTCAATTATTAATATTCTATTTTTGGTCAATAACTTCGGATACAATTTGAAGAAAATAAAATGGGGAACCCAGTTGTCATGGTCTCGAATTCAGGCACGTATCTTTGATCATGTGACTGACTGTCAAATATATTGATGCTGAATGCTGATATGTTTAGTTTTTAATGGAGAATTTTCAGCTTTTGGATATGGAGTACAAGTACGCATATGTATCTACCATCAAATAAATCTTTCAAGACTTATATATTAGTCAAATGAGAAGATTTTTCAAACAAATCAAGGGTGCTTGCATGCGAAAATAGCTATATATGTTCATACGCAAAACATGCTAGAGTCAATAATGACCAACTAATAGCTAGCTACCACAAGCTACACTATAAATAACCATCTCGATTTCCACAAAATCAGATCACCAAATACAGATTAAGAAACATTACAAAAGAGTGTAAAGAGGAAAACAAAAATGTCATCAGATACTACATGCCAAGGTACGTAATGAACATTTTTGGTGCTAAAAATAATATAACTTCATATATATATATATATGGTTTGTTGTGAAACGATTAATTTGTGTACATGCAGGTAAGAGTTTATGGCCAGAGCTTTTAGGAGCAGAGGGGAAGGTCGCTGCTGCGACGATTGAGAGAGAAAACCCTCGTGTTGAAGCAATAATTGTGCCAGAAGGATCAATGGTCATTCTGGACTTTCGCTGTGATAGGGTTTGGGTTTGGGTTGATGAAAAAGGCATTGTTTTTCAAGTCCCTGGAATTGGTTAAGATGCAAAAATACGGATTCTTCTAAAGGAAATAAAGAGGTCTACTCTCCATGAATGTACTGCGTACTAAATAAAAGTTACTGATGTACTCCCACGGAACTTGCTAATAATTAAGTACTATATCGTCAATAAATTTATACGTGTGATTCTAATGTTCCTTTCTATATATATATATATATATATACACTCTGGGTATTGAGTTCGATTTTTTTTTTTTCTGGTTCAACTTTCAAGTATGGAGTTACTTTAAGCCCCTACTCTTTTTGTCTTTTGTTTTTTTGTAAATGAAAATAATCATTCATGAAAAAAAAAAAAAGAAAAAAAAAAACAGAGCATGGAGTTCCTTTCAGTATTTCGAAATTTTTTGTGGATGCTAGTTACAGTTATTTGAAGTTATTATTATAATTGTAATTACTTCAAGCACACTTTATCGTTGGATGGAAGTAAATAAATAACAACTCTTAAAATAACAAATAAACAATAAATTTGTAAGAAAATAAGAAAACCTGAAAATTGAACCAGTAAATTCATAAAATTAAGAAAAAATATTTTTTTTGAATAATGAAACATCTTATAAAATTGAACACTCATATATTAGACATTTAAAATGACTATTATAAAATTAAATTAAATTATATACATCAGTAGATGATTTGTATGTCAATATCCTCATAAATTACGACTAAGAATAACAATATATAAATTTGAAGAATGTGAATTTATAAAATCAATAGATACATACTTACAGTTAAAATCAATAGATCCTATTGGAATTTTTTTAATAAAATATTTATTATTAAAAAAAAAAGTTACATTTCCGTTGGTCTTTTTCATTAAAGTTTGTAACATTTTTCGTTGAGTTTTTTTAATGTTCTTTCATTGAATTTTAATGTATATTACATCAGCCATTAATTTCTTTGAATGAGTACTTTTATTTTTTCGACAGCTTTTTTTGTGGGCTATATATATGAGAGCTTGGTTTTGGACAAAAGCACAACAAAAAATATATGACAACATAACATTCTATATTCTTATTAGAAAGAAACGTATAGCAACATTTTTTGTGAAGAAAAATAATCTTTATTTTTGTGTTCTTTAACCTCCCACTATAAAGCCATATAATGCTTTATTTGTTTATCTTTGGATAAGAGTGATGCTATTAAATTTAGAGTTTCAAGTCTTACAAGTAATATAAACTTGTTAAAACACGATAAGGTGGTTGAATTTGTTGTACTCTTGAGATGGAATGTAATATGCTCTTAATCTGTTGCATCAAATAAATTCTATAGACGACGAGTATCGTCTTAAGAAAGTAACCTAATTGTGTCACTACAAAAAAGAAGCAATTAGCGATGGATTTTTCCGTCACTAATTGCTCAAAATCCATTGCTATTTTGCTTGTCACTAAAAAATCCATCGCTAATTGCTCAAAATCCATTGCTATTTTGCTTGTTGCTAATTTTTAGCGAGGAAAAAATATATTCTGTCGCTAAATTAGCAACAAAAATTCCATCGCTAATCCGTAGCTATTTTTGTCATAGAATCATTGTGGCTTCCGTTGCTAATCCGTCGCTAAATAGCGACCGAATATCCGTCATTAATATCCATAGCTAACAAAGCCCTAGCTATTCCGTTGCTAAAATGAAAGGGCAATTTGTGGCTATTCCATCCCTAAATTTTTTTTTAAAAAAATTTTCATTTTTTTATTTTTAAATATTACATTTAGTAATTAATATTGGATGTAATAGTTAACAATTAAAAGTAATAACGTATAGATTGAAAATGAATTAATATTAATAATAACATTTAATAGTACGTTCGGTAAAATAAAACAAAGTCACTAAATGTTTGTTCTATCACTCATCCCTGCTCGTCTAATCTCATATCCTTCTCTTGGTACTGTGTGGAGGGCTCGACGATAGGATTGGGTGGAGGCTAAACGGGAGGTTGTGTGAAAGGAACCGTAGACTACTTACCGGTCGACGGATGTATAGGCACCCTAGTTGTCTATGCTAGCCTCTTCATTAAGGATGCCATTGAGTCGTACCGAGATTTCGGACTATGTATAATCATATGCTACTCTAAGACCGGGCTTTGGAGCTTATGTTGTTTCATATGCATCCCTTTCATCGCTTCCTTTGTAGCCTCTTCGTCCCTTCGAAGCTCTTCGTTAGCCGAGTCGACGACATAATGCAACGTGGCAAAAGAGAAGCTGCCGCCACCGACTAGGACAAGTAATACACCGACTTTGTGCCGAGACCATAATAACTTTTCTTCTTCTCTCCGACGATCTTGAGGTATATGGTATTCTTTTCAACTTCGGTTCCACGATTCCTATCGCCTATTGAGCCACAATTCGCCTTTTGAATGAGTCGTTCCGCATGATCATGTGTAATCAAAATAATGATATCATCATTATAGGACTAAAATAAAAATTAGAACTAACTTTTCATATTTAATATTTAAAATTGAAAAACACTTACCATTGTTTGTTGGGAGTGCATATCGATGAAAAAACCATCTAATCGCTTGTGAGTCATCTTAAACATCTCAATACTCGTTGGTCGATGACCCAATTTTCCCTCCTAAAAAAATCCCATTACATAGAATGTGAGAACAAAATTGAAATTTTTTAAAACATGTAATTAATAATAAAGAGTGTGCAATTTACCAAGCGACGGACGTACTCTTCCATAGATATGAAGCCTCCAATATGCCTAGAAGGACCCACACCAAGTCCATCGAGTCTTCGACAACCGGTTCTATATTTATTAATTGAAGTTATCATTTTAACTTCAATTACATGAAATTTTATCTATATTGAAGCTAAAAACGTTTATGTTTATTAAATTTTCCTAATTAATTTAGTAATAAATTCAACTAAATTTAATTTAACTAATCCTAAATAAAATGGTAATTAAATTCTATTAATTAATAAAATTTCATAAAATTTTAATGTTTATGTTTATTTTTCAATTACATTTTTATTCCAATTTTCTTATTTTCCGAATGATTAAATCATTATGCATATTATCTCCTTTAATTTTAATAATTAAACTATAACAATTACTTCTATAATTTATATTCAAAATAACCATAAATTAAATCAATTAGATTAAATTAATTTAAACTAATTAAGCTAGTAACTAATTCAAGCAAAACACAATATCACAAATTAACAATAAATTAACCAACTAATAAATTAAAAATTTCTTAAGAAATAATCAACAAAATTTAACTAAAGTACATAAACAATTATATAATTTAAAAATTAAATTAAAAAAAAAATTAAAAAAAAATTCACCTAATAATTAACACATTTAATTAATTAAAAATAATAATTAAATATTAAATAATTAAACTTTAATCTAAAAATTAAAAATAAATCAACCTTAACTAAATTACATAAAAAATTACCTTAATAAATTTAAACCTAAAAAATTAATATAATTAAAAAATTTTAGATTAAAATTAACATAACAATTAACATAATTAAAAAATAAAACTTAAAAAATTAATCTAACAATTAAGAAAATTAAATAAACAATTAACAAATTTACACTAATAATTAAAAAATAAATTAATACAATTAGAAATTAATATAATACTAAAATTAACAACATTCGAACATTTAATCAATTAACAAATAACAAAATTAACCTAAAAATTTATAACATTCATTTAATTTTAAAAAAAAGACTTAGAGAGATAAAGTTGTACCGAAGAGATCAACGAAAAAAAGGAGAGGTTTCATCGAATTTTAAGGGAGAAAGATGTACCTCACCGAGTTGAATGATTTTGAGAGTCACTTGGTGGCGTGGAATGACGTGGGGGTGGTTTTTGGCCGGCGGCTGATTTTTTGGGTAGAGGAGAGAGGTGGTCGAATGGGGAAGAAGAAGAAAAATCGAGTATTTAAAGGCTCTAAAATTAGCGATGGAATCAAAATTTCGTTGCTATTTTTTATTTTTTAAATTCCCACCCAAATCCCAACAAGCAACGGATTTCTTGAAACTAAAATTAGCTTGCGATTTAGGTGGAAAAATTCTCACCTAAATCGCAAAGTAGGGACGATTTTTAAATTAGTGACGAATCACAATTTCGTCGCTAATTTGAACCCCCTAAAGGCAACCTACTATCTTTATTTAGTGATAGAATAAATCTGTCGTTATTTACTTGATGGATAGCGATGGATTGTAATCAGTTGCTAAATTAGTGACGAAAATCCGTCGCTGAATGTTACACTTTTTTCTATGCGTTATTTTGTGATGGAATTAATTTCGTTACCGAGTTTCCCTCGCTATTTCATCGCTAATCAGTCACAAAATCACCTTTTTTTCTCCGTCGCTAATCCGTCATAAATTTGTCTCTAATTAGAGACAAAATAGCATTCGTCGCTAAAATTTGTTGCTAATTGTCAATTTTCTTGTAGTGTGTATCAAGTCGGTCACCTAAAATTTTTTATAAAACTATTTTGATGGTTCGATCATCTTTACATCAAGAAACATGTTAATGTAAATTTAATCCTAATTTTTCTAATAATCAAGGTAAAAAGTTTCAATTTTTTCTTCATCTTAATTCACAATAAATTTATTTATTGAGTGTGTGAATTTTTATTACTTAATTATGTTCCTTTTTTGTGTGCTAGGAACAAAAATTTGAGATGCACCTCTAGTGATGAAAGTATGTGATACTTATATTTGTAAAGCTCTCATTACCTCTAATGCAACATAATTTGAGATGCACCTCTAGTGATGAAAGTATGTGATACCTATATTTGCAAGTAATTTTAGATTATTGTATGAATACTAATTGCTTCATACTTGAGTTCTTTTTTTCAATCTAAAAATCATGATTGAAAAAAAAAAGGAGGGGGTGTGACTACTCGTTGAAGTTGTTATTATAATTTATGTTTGACAACCATATTCAATTGTGACGATATAAACAATTGAGGAAATAATAATCTTATTAGCATATTATTAGTAAGATAAATTGACAAGGAAC